TGAACACCCCTAGATTACTGAGGAGATTTCCCTAACACCCAGGTAAATAACCATTTTTTTCTGGTAAATGCCAGTGAATTCTTCTAACTCAAGTGAAACTCTAGCAATTGAAGCAAGTCTGTAAGAAGCAACCAAGTGGGTTAACAGAGGCCCTGCTATGTGTGCGGTACAGGATCCCTCAGAAAAGATACTTTGCAGCCTCAAGGGTTGATAATATCCTTTAACTCAAGCTCTACTCAGTAGCAAAGTGACAAGCAGCTGTCCAGGACCGCCCCTTTCCATCGCTCCAGACCGCTCCAGATGGACATCAACAAGAAGACTGGCAGATTCTCAGGAAAAAGGGGAGGCAAAGGACATGTAGGAAAAGCACTCTCCCCAAAATACTGTTCTTCCCACCATCACCACACACATCACCAAAAGTCTTTTGAGAACAACCAGAGCCCAGCATGGAGGTGCTGTCATTCTCTCCTACAAAAAGTCCCTCCTGAGCATTTTCCTGCTCCATGCGCTGCTGCACCTCAAATCCTTGCAAAAAGGCCAAGGGTACGACAAAAGGGGTCATCTCCAACCTCAGGGAGAAAGGGAGGCAATGGACACTTAGGAAGGGCACTTTCCCCAAAATACTGTTCTTCACAGCATTAACACATGCCTAAGAATGGGTCTTTGGAAAATAGCCTGAGCCTGGCAAGGCTCCCCCACAACAGGACCCTCCCAAGCATTTCGTCCTTCATCCGCTGCTACACCTCAGAGCCTTTCTGAGCACATCCCCACTCCAGAGCTCTGGTCCCCTTGACCATGGACAAGAAGAGCCAATCACTAATCACGTTGTAGCAGTTTTGCATTTCCCTCCTGGCAAACACTAGAACACCACTCTGGTCTACCTAGAGTGCTGCTGTAGTCAGGAATTGAATAGGAGGAGGCCAGAAAGCCAGTATTTACTGGCCAGAAAGCCAGTAAATTCCAATAAGCTCCTGCTAACTCAAGGGCCACTCTAGCAAAGTGCAGGGAGAGCTGCCTTCCCATCACCCCTCCGGCCCTTCGGCCCTCTGCCATGGCCACTAGCAGCTGCGGAGGGGAGGGCGGATGCAAAGGCACATGGGAAGGGAACCTCCCCAAAATACTGTCTGCCCTGCTGTCAACACCCACCTCATCACAAGTCTTTGTAGAACAGTAAAAGCCCCGCAAGGAGGCTCTGCCATGCTCCCCCACAAAAGTCCCTCCCGGGCCTGCTGCACTTTAGAGCTCCTCCTGGCATCTGGGCAATAGCAGAGCGCTGGTTGCCTTGGGCACGGCCAAGAAACTCCAATCCACTGTGCCCGCTGTACCCTGAGAAAGTTCCAGCATAGCACGTGGGATGCAAAGTCCTGCAGGCTGTACCAACAGCCCAGCGGCACCTTGCAGAAAGCCCAATGGTATGGCAAAAGGGGTCATTTCCACCCTACCCATTCCCTTAGCCTAATCCAGAAGGTTCAGCCAGCCTCTGGCAGGGCGTTATGTGCTGGAATAGTGAAGGGGGGATTTCATGGACATGAAGGCCTCTTTTCTCAAGCTTCACCTATTGATAAGAACTTGGCCTGAAGTGCAAATTGCTCCTTCACATAAAGTAGGCCATTCAGGGCAAAAAAATGTCTTATTACGTGTTGTTAATCTTCACATTGGTGGTGTTAGCCTTAAAAAAAAAAAAAAAAACAGACCAAAAAAAGCAGTGATTGAATGAATATACGTTAAGAGATACTCCAGAGCATGAAAAATAAAGTCTTTACAGTCCAAGATGATCAACTTTGAAGTCAAGAGGTTCGTTTCCATATTAGCAGACCCCAGCAGAGTTCTCCTCTGTCAAGAGTATCATAATCTCAAGTGCATGATTTCCCAGCAGAAGGTAAGAGGGTAAAAATACAAAGTGGCCTTTCA